CCTAGCCCTTCTACAACCCATGCGACGGTACCGAAAAGAAGAAATGAAAACTTTCAGACTCCAGCATTTAAGAAAACAAGAAAGCAAAGCCGCCGCGTAAAGAAACCTTGGTAAAGAGGAAAAACACCACCTACAAAGTATCGCAGTAGAAATTCTACATCGAGGAGAACGCTTCCAGGGCCAGAGTCAGGTGCAAACAAGGCCGCCGTTCCCGAGAACTGAAAAGACAGCAGGAGGAACGAAAAGACCACCACCAACAGAAGAAATTCAAGCAAGACTCCAGACCGGAGGACGCCAAGACCAGCCGTCCAGGGGCAAAACGGAAAAGACAGCAACCCGACGACTACCACTCCAAGAGGCCAGCATGCAGAGGGCGAAAAAGAAAAAAGCAACGTGGACGACACTCGGAAGGACAATAAGGAGAAGATTGACGTCCATGAAACCTATAACTGGGATCAATTCTGCCAGAAGAGATGTCGGAGTTCCAATCATCGAAAACTCAAAGATAAGTTAAAATCTTCTATAAAATTTTTTTTCTTTTTGTTCCGAAATGTTATGCGTAAATACGAAGTTCTATGTTTTGACGAAAGTCAATATGTCTCGGTTGAGACTTAGTTTTGTTTTACTTTATTTAGCTAAGGCAAAAGTATTATTTTCTTTAAGTATAAAATCTAAGAAAAAAACAAGCAGTTTTCTGTTGGTCGAAAGACTAATTCTGTTATGTTAAAGCCAAAATTTGGCCGAAGATAAAAATAACTTCGTATTCTTGTATTAATAAGAATTTTAGTTTCAGTGCCGCCAGCTTGGCGAAGAATGAGTAAAGTAAAAATTTATTTTTCTCTTATTCATTTTATGGTAAATTGTAAAAATCATATGTATTAGAATTTTGTAAATATACGTAAATACTTGAAAGTTATGTAAAAGTAGAATTTAGTCTAGAAGCATAAAATTTTAGATGCTAAAAGTAAATGCTCAAAAGCAATGAATTCAAATTTAAGTATTAAACTGTAGATAAAATCATGCTTTAGAGCGAAAGCCTGCATGTCTAAAGATGAATGAGGGGGAAGTTAGAATGAATGTGTTTTGTAGGGTTCTCCACCTACACTTGAATTTTAAGAATGTTAAAGTAGCTCATCGAGTTGTAGAATGTCGAGTAAGGTGTGTCTATATTTGGTCGTTGAATTCTAACAAATCATTGGTGGTTAGGGAAAGTGTTGCAATACTAAAACACGAATATTCCCGTTTGACACCACACATGGTGGAGAGCCAGGGTAAAGTTAAATTCATGTTTGAAATACTTGAATGAATGTGAATTAAGCAGTAACTAAGGAAAATAAATCGTTCAAAAACAAAAAAAAATTATTCAGTGTCAAGAAAGTGTAAATTATAATGTATTTAGAAAGATACTGATACTTATTCCTTCCAGATGCTGGAAGGAAAGAGAAGAGAACAGATTGATTGCTGAAGTCCAGGAAAGGTTGCTGTAAGAAGAGAGAATTTAAATAAGTATCTACAGAAATTTATTCTACCTTTTGTGAGATAAGATTTTTTTTTATGTAAACGAGGCTCTTAAAATTTAGTTCAGAATTAGTGGAAACTTTTCAACAGGTCGTTTGTAGGACCTGCTTCCAAGTTTTCCAAATTCTGGCAGCGGCAAATGTAGGGTTTATATTTATTTTAACTAACATTTATTTTAAGTTTAAACTATCTTTCCTGTCAAGCCTTACTTTCCCCTGGAATTGCCAATGCCAGAGTATGTAAATTTTAGTAGAACGCGCAAGGATTCAAATTATCAGCGGAAGTATTCTGAGTTAAATAGAAGGGAAACGAGTTCGAAAGTGTGCTTTCTTGCTTCACGAGCGTGGAGGGGAGGTGGCTAGTTAGAAATTGAAGAACCACGCGTTTCGGCCTGTGTGCTTGCCTCGGCAGTTGTTAATCTTTCAACGTAATATTCAGAAGTTTGCTGAATTATCAGCGGTATCTTAGAACGCGGTGAGGTGAGGTTAGTTACGTTTAGAGAGCCTCGTAGTTAGTCACTTGTTATTATCTCTTTTCAGTTTCTTATTTTTATTTTACCGCCGGGTCGGCGTAGTTTGTAAGCGTCAAGAGCACGCATTTGTAATTTCTAAAGTTGAATAAAAAGGGACTTAAACCCTTCTCAAGACTTTGTCTACTTTCCAGTTCTCGGCAGTCACCACTATTGTTGCGTGCAGGTTGGAAGCGTGCAACATTACAACCTGATGCCAAAACCAACGGCTCCAGTTAGCAATTGTTTTCGGTGAACTTCTGAAAAATGATTTTAATGTGCTGGGCAGCCTTTGGTTTTCAAATGAGGCTCACATCCGTTTAATTAGATATGTTCATAAACAAAATTCACTATGCTGGGCATTGCAAAATTCATATGTTGCTCAGATAATCCTTTATTGTGTGTGGACCTAGTTAGTGTATGATATTTTCTGTAGGCATTTTCGGTCCAGCGTTCATTGATGGAAACATCACAAGCAAAGGATATCTTAGTAATATTCGAAAAGAATTTGTTCCGTTTTTGTTTGGGATGCGTGATGCTTGGTATGAGATGTTTGATAAGCGTGTGCTGCCTAACCGTTATCCCCATATTCATGAGACCAGGTCTGAATGACCAGCAGTGTCACCGAGTATGACTCCATGCGACTTTATCTTTGAGGTTACTAAAACGACAGAGTGTTTTAGATGAATTGTGCAAGAATTCATGAACTGAAAGTGAGTATAGAAGCAGAAAATTTCGACATTTCCTGACGACACATTACTTACAATAATGGTCTATTCTGTTTTAAGGTTGCGCCATGTCGGTATCGAGCATGGGTCACACACTGAATATATTGTGCTTTAAATTCTTAAGTTGATTGAGATCATTCCCCAGAAATAAGAACATCTTATGTCAAGTGGTTTGTAAATTGTGGACATTTTCAATGGTTTTATATATTAAAAATCACCTGGTACTTTTCTTCAGTCTTAAATTGATTAATTAAATCGAACATAGTGTATTCTATATTTTAGAAGTCAAAGTGAAATTACTATTAAAATAAAGACAATTTTTATTGCCCAATGCATGCAACTGAACAGAAATTTTGGAAAATATTAGACAAGAATAAGAGCAGAAATTTATATTTTTAATAGATGGTTATTATTCATGATATATTACTGAACACTTCGAATATAAAAACAAAATGTCGCTTAATTTAAGTTTATCAGGCCTCAACTATCCTATTGCGATAGCGCATTTCAGTCCGATTGTCGTACTCAACATAAGAAATCTGATGTCATATATTAGATCAGAATTTTCCAGTTCCAGTTTCTTCTTTCAAAACAAATAATGAATGCGTAATGCTTTGTTCTTTTATAAAATAACCAATAGCGAATAAAGCACAAAATTCTTATTTACCTATCTCTCAACTAACTTCCCTGCCTCTCATTATGATACTATCCTACTCATATGTTATCAGATTACGGCATAACGATGCGGGTTTTCACAGTACGGCCTTTTCAAGAAAGCTGACCAACATATGACAAAAGACAATCACAGTGGTGCTATACCATAAAGAAATCAGCAAATTTATAAAAGCGAATTCTTAATTTGAGCCAAGAGAAAAATTGAACCATTAAACTGCATATCATTGATCTAGCACAAGGTTAACATAGCTTCAGGAAAGATTTGTGAATTCACGTTAAAACATTACTATGGAAAAAATACCATTGATTGATGACCTTGACACACAGTTGTTTACACTGTTGCTGAAAAGTATATTCTAGTGTAATTCAATGGAATCTTTTACAAATCTAACAACTGAGAACTTGAGAGTGATTTTGGATTTCTTGAAAGAATACAAAAAAAAGGGATTTTAAGAGGGAAGAATAAAACGTACGTGCCCAAAGAAAGTCTAGCGATTAACTTAAAATCATCGCCCTACTCAAACAGGTTATGGTAAACAGATAGCTGCCAAAACAAAAAGTTAACATGTTGGTGAGACCTGATCCAATGATGCGCACATAGTGTTATAAAGGCAAATTTTTCTGGCTGTTGGCATCTTCGAACTCGGTCATTATGATGCAACTGCACAGCAAAAAGTGGACAAGAGAGTCCGAGTCCGTTTCTACTCTGTATCCAAACCATAAGAGAATTTCTGCTTACTTACAAGTATATCGAAGGAGTCCACCCCTGCATTCCTACACGGTCATCAAATGAGGTTACGTCAATAGACGTAATCAATGGATCCAATGTAATTCCAGCATTGGATAATAGGAAATTGCTGAAAGGTGGACTTCTGGCCATTGACTATTACTACTAGTAGCATTTAGAAAAATAATCGCTAGTGTCCGCTAGAAACATTGCAGCAAAAACATCACAGACAGAAACGTCGCTCAGAAAACAACGCAAGAGTCGCGGAGAAAATAAGTCAAGACGAAAACATCGTTGTATGAAACATCGTGGGAGAAAAGAAAGCAAGAAGAAAACATCGCAGTTCTAAAACATCGTGGTATAAAACAATGTTATAGGGGAAAAAAATTAAAAAACATTGCTGTAAAAAATATTGCGGTAAAAAACGGCGATGTTTTTTTGAATAGCTTGATGTTAAACGACGTTTTTTTTTTTTTTTTTTTTTTTTTTTTTTTTTTTTTTTTTTTTTTTTGAATAGCTTTATGTTAAACGACGATGTTTTAGAACTGCAATGTTTGAACCTTGCTTTTTTCTCCCACGATGTTTTGTACGACGAAGGTTTTGCTTTGCACTGTTTCCTCTGCGACGTTTCCGTCCGCGATGTTTCTTCCTGTAACCGTCTTGCTAAGATTCGAACAGGTAACAGTGTTACGAGGACATCCTTCATAGATCAACATTGGTTCTCATTTTAATTTGAAGATATCATCATTTCCTTAACTTATTGGACTCAAATCGCTCTTTATCAAGAAATGTCAAAGCAAGCGTGGGGTAGACAAAATTTAAATAAAATGCATTTATTCGTTACCTGTGAGCGCGGCAAGCCCACCATCCGTAACCCGTGTCTCGCACAGATTGAGAACCTGTAGGTTCGGAAGATGCTCTGCCAGGAGTCTCAAACCGGAATCACCGAACTAGAACAAAGCGACAGCAATTGAAGTAATGTTAAAATACGCAATACACAAAAAAAAAAAATATTGCTCAATATAAAAATATGAATAGAAAATAAACTAAAAATTATTAAGCTCAATAAGCAAAGTAAAGCAAAGAAACGATTCTTACTTGCGTTGACCACAAATTGAGGTATCGTAAGGATGACAGCTTGATGATTTCCTCTGCACATGCGCTGGTCACTTGGGTGAAAGCTAGAGAAAGACATTCTAAGTCACCGAAGGAGCCACTGTTCAGCAGACGTGATACATCCGCATCCTAGAAATATATATACAAACCAATTTAAAATAATATTATTGTGCATCGTAGTTCATTGAATAATCTATTCCTATGTAATATATTTGCACATAACGTTTCAATACAATAACATATCATTAAATTCCTTCATGTGCCAATGTAGCATACGATGACCAATACACGTTTTGGGTAATACGGATGAAAATATGATTTCCTCTGAAACTGGGTGGTGTAGTAATGAATTCGTTCGTCTTCACCATCCTTCTTGCACTTCTCATAAAGCTATAAGATCTCTACATTATGTAACTTGTTATGCATTAAAGTTACCGAGTGTTGTTACATACCAGTCGTCAGTTATGGTCTGCACATAGTCCGAAAATCTTGATACCATATAATTCGTTGTGAAGTACCACTAAAACGCAGCCTACCGAGCTTTGTTGCATAAGATGTCAGTTTGTAAAATCATTAGGATTTTTTTGGAGCAGGAAACATGGGAAACCAGTAGTGTTCTCACCAGAATTCGAACTTCAGGTCTCCCGACTGCTAGGCAGACGTATTTACAATTACACACGAAGGCACGCGATAGGAAGAGAGAAAATGCCTTACGTTATCTCCCACAAAAGGCAACTGAAGAGGCAAGGACCCAATCGCAAAATCCTGGTGTTGACGAATTATCGTCTACCACATTTTAGATCGGGAGGCACTTGCAGACTAGTTAGGTTTATCAAAGCAAGAAAAATAAAAAATTGTGCAATGTTCTCGCCGAAATTTGAACTCCAGACCTTCGGACTGCTAGCCGAACATGTTTCCAGTTACACACGAAAGCACGCAGTAACGAGGAGAAAAAATACCTTCCAAGCTGCGTCCTGCACATAGCCATCAGATAAATTTATAGCATTACCACCAAGAGGCAGGGTATCGGATATTATCACGCAACTGACGATCAGTTATGGCTTTCATAAAATCCTAAAATCACGATTTTTCATAATTTGTTGTGTGGATCATCAACAGCCAGCTGTTTGTAGGAACAGACAGTGTGAAAGGGTAAAATTCAAACCTGGTAGAATCAAAGACAGACTTTTTGATTCTACCAGGCTTGAAATGCCGGCGAGTCTATAACAAAATATTTGCAAGCGCATAAACTTATCTGTCCGACGCAAGGGAGCACATGTGGATCTTTTGACAACTAGCCAAATAAATTTATTAAATTATCAGAGCTCATAATAAATAGATATGTGAACTTACAGAACACACTGCACATCTGAATAATAAATAGTTTTAACCAACAGAAGTCTAGTATATGTAAAATTATAAACTATTACAAGCACAGTCTCTAAGGAGACTACGTTCATCTGTCATTAACGTACTGCAAGTATAAAAGTTCTGCATTGCAAATCAAAGGTGTTTAGGCGTTCATAAAATGGTTTTTCAACTTAAATAATTAGGTATCTTATGCACATTCAGTACAAGAGCAGAAGGCAAATGTTAAAAGTAAGACTGCCTAAATTTTATCTCGATGTCTAAAGAGATATCCATAATGTGCATCAAATGGATGTGTTCTTCATCTCTGAAAAGTCTATTTTCTATTTATTATATGTGATCTTGATGTGTTTGCATACTTATTGGGTATCCAAATTATCCGAAACCAATTTTTAATCAATTTCCATTACATATGATATGCATATGTAATGGAAATTTATTGCATTTATGTTCTCTGAGACTCATTCAACTAACATACCCCACGTTTTTTTCTTAGTGTAATAAAAATGGAAGTGTAAAACTAGAAACAAAATATACTAAAAATTAAAATTTAATCGCTAAAAATTTTATAATTGCTGATAATAGGTAGTTTAATAAAGAAAGAAAATATAATTTAATCTGCTAACCCAAACTTCTATTTTCTCCTTACTAGTAATTTCTAAGAACGGATTTATTATGTTTAGATAGTTGTATAAATTCTTATATATATATAAGAATTTATACAACTATATATATATATATATGTGTGTGTGTGGTGTGTGTGTGTGTTTAAAGAAAGGGTTAAAAAAACAAATGTATAAAAAGTTAAATTGGAGCTCTTATGATATTTAATAATTTGCCATAATTAATACATATCATTTAAAATTTATGAAATAATATAACCCATATTTCCTTGCCTATTCTTTTCCCTAATTTTATCGTCCGAAAATCAAGAGGGCAGAATTATGCCAGAAATTTTATTCCCGAAGAATACGGTTACAGTAAGAACGTAAAAAATGAAAAGTAGCCATGGCTAAATTGCAGTTAACTATCAAAATATTATTTCTTTAAAAAACTGTTTTCCGGTTTTCCTATATATTAAGGATATGTAATAATATTACTAGTATAATATAAAATAAAATATCTTAATTTCTACTTCTTTGTAACTTGAATCTCGCTCATTCCTCTTGTTGTCTTTGTTACTAAATAATCAATAAATAATTAGAGAAGGTGTTTGCTTTACTGTAAAACGTCTGTTCGTATATCAGCCCAGCGTAAAGTTCAACAGTTAAAAGGGAAGGGTTTAGCATGACCTTCTCAGGTAATTCGTGAAAATTTGTATGTGTTAGTAAGACGAAAACAATCACTGTGTGGACAAATCCATTTTAAATTTTAAAAGGAGCTCTTTCTCTGAAGGCATACAGGAAGGGGAGAAACACATGAATGTTCTTAAAACTTCCAGAATCTGGCGTCAAATATCTGGGAAGGGGGGAATGCGATAACATTTAACGTATAACAATCATCAAGAAATTTTAATTCAACTGAAAATTTCTTTCACTTCTTCAGGCATAAAATATACATCTTAACGAATTTTACTTAATTTCATATTTCGTTAATTGATTAAAATTTTTCTAATAAGAAAACGTTTGTCTTTGTTTAAGTAAATTTCTAGCATAACTGTATCTCAGAAAATGAAGCTTCGAACGCATTCCTACAAATAAATTTTAAGTATACTTTTAAAATATTTCTTTTGTTCTATACATTGCCTGAAAAAACTTCAGCTGAACTCACACTTAAATTCTTAACATGTAACAACACTGTTACCTTCTCAGTAAAACTACAAGCATATTTATAGATAACTCATAAAGTGCTTACCGTGGACTTGGAAGGAAGAGCTAATTTCTTCGGACCGCCTTTTTGCTGCTAGAAGAAATAAAGTAATATACAAATTGAAAATATTGCATTTCTCTTAAATTTATCGAAGTTTATAAATGTAATCACACATGAATATATATTTTCGTACAATTCCTTTATTAGGAATTTATTGATTCTTATTTTGTTTATGTCAAAGGAGCCTTTATTATTTGCAGTAAACAAACATCCTGTCTCGGCATCTAGAGTGTCTAAATAAAATGGAATAGTTCTATTACCAGCTGGCGTAAATGCATCTGTTTCTCGCATAGCACAGTGTAGTGTTTCTTCCCGCTCGGTGTACTCTGTAGGGTGGTGATCAGCTGCAGCTGGAGGTCCCTGCTATCGACCACATCCATTTCCAACAAGGCACACAATGTCCGCTGGCAAGTTTCGTCATCTCTCAGAGCTCTAAGCATGCATGGACCGAGGTTCTTCGTAAGGGATTGCAAGAATTTTCTTCTCTTGTAGCAACAGGACAAAAGCTTTTCTAACTGGAATAAATTAAGGATTTGATGTCAAGAAACGTTTCTCTAAATATGAATATCTACAACAAATGCATTTTGAGATCAAAAAATAATGAAAGAGTTATCTAATAGTTATTAATTAATTCGACAAAGTACTCGAAGACTATTTTACTTCAGTGATGTGCTTTCATGGGAAACATGCTTACACATAAGAAAAGTAAAAAAAAAAATACATATGGGTTTGCTAATTTAAGTTGACAATCACGTTAATTTAAGTTGATAATCACGTTAATTCATTTAGGTTAATAAGTTGATAGTTCAATTTGATAATCCCGTATCTATTGTAGAGATCATTTGGATGCCAATTGTAGAGATCATTGGGCTCTACAACCAAGAGAATATGCCTGAGGAAATGCGATTAACTCCTTACATTTTTACCCGTTTAAATCATGAATAGAGAGAGGCTAGAAATCCAGTCGGACAAATAGCAGTAAAGACGAATTACAGACCTTTCCACATTTCACATTTAAGTTCTAGCACTAATTTAGAAACTGTTAGGTTTTTCCGACCAGCAAAAAAATGAGAAAACTATCCCTCGCTGGGATTCGAACTACGGATCCTTCATGATAGTAAACAGAAAATAAATACTGCATAATTCTTGCTACATATTGAAAAAGCAACTAATTTAAATAATCTTTATCAAAGTAGAAATGCAAACTTTTTAACAAGCTGCATACAAAAATAAGGACAGCAAATATTTCAAAGATTTACGCGCAACAGTAAAAACATATTTTAGTAACGCTTGCTTTATTCAATTCAAGCAAATGCTTTTCCAACTAAATTTTGCAATATTTCTGATTATACAGCATATTGTGCAATCTCAATAGTGAACTTTAAGTCTTTATCAAGAACTATCATTTTCCATTATTTTGCATAGTATGTATGTGCTGAGATCCCCACACGATCTCGAGATGAATGAAAAAAGGACTCATAGGAATTCAAACTAATTATGATGTAGTATTTTGTCATATCTATTTCTTCAAACTGGTACATTTTGTAGTGTGTCTCATTTTTAAATTTCCGCCTTGAACCCACCCCTCCCCCCAAAGGGCTTCTCTAAAATAGTGCCAAGCTCTATACAGGTTATGTTTTGGAAACTTCTTATAAGGTATTTCTCCCGCCTTCCTAGCGTGCCTTCGTGGTGTAGTCGTTCTGCACGCTGGGCCCGGTATTCCAGAGGTCCGTGGTTCGATTCCCGTCGAAGGCGATTGCTCATTTTTCCTCTCTGTGGCTTTTCCAATTAACCTAATGTCTCTACACTCTAAGACAATCAAAAGCTTAGGGATAGTGTCTTTTCAGGTTCATCTATATCATCTTTCCTGGATGCATCAAGGAAAATGAAGACTGCGAATTTAAGCATAATTTTAAGGCTTCTTAGCTTATCTGGAGTTTCGGGTCTCAGCTTTATGAGCTTAGGCAGTAGTTAAGCCTTACTAGTTGAAATCACAAACATATTTTTGTCTATCTTCAAGCCAAATGTTTTCCAAACCATTAATGCTATAACGCATTGATGTATGTTATAAAGTTCTCAATGTTTTTCTGAGGTCATGCCAATAACTTGTCCAGCCAGCTAAGCCATCGAAATTTTTTTTATCTTATCTCCGAATACAAAGCTTAACCATTGGAAAGTTACTTGTGAGCCCAGCTGTGTACTCCTTTTAGCGACGCACTTTTGAGGATTCGGCTTCGATCGCTTTCTAGCTGCTATCTAGTGGCACAACCTCTTAGTGAAGGTAATTGCCAAACCTCTGCTTCGTAACCTTCCAAGCTGGTAAACGATGTTGGAGGTCAAACTGAAGGCTGTGGCATAAAATCTAGATCGCACCGCAATGCAAAAGTGTACTTCTGCCTTTGCAGGCGATATTCGGATTTATTTTTCATTTCGAACGCTGCTTGGTTGCCTAGCTGCAACACATTATCTCCTCGTAGCATTTGTAATGCAAGATTGAAGAACATAATTATTCGTTGGTGTTGAAATCGTGTTGGGGGAATAGTTAGGAGCCTCTGATGCTAATATAATATTTTGTGTTAGAGGTCCAAACATTCATTTGAGCTATCTGTAGCATTGTGAGACATATAGTGAGGCGCCGCGCCGCGCGTACTTCGTTTTGCAGTTTTTCTCAGTATATATGGAGACGTGAATCCTAGTATACCCTTGGTTATCAATACGTGGACTCGGCGTTTGTTTGATTTATTACCATGGTACAGTGATGCCATCTCTTAGGGAAGGACATAATTGGGTTAATGTTCTTGAAGCTAATAAACGATTATGGTGTTCTAATTTAAGAAAGAGTTTTAAGGCTCATTGCAGCAGTAAGCTCAAGCACAGCACACTATTAAACTGATATTGTCAGATTCTTAACACATTGAAAATACCTTATCCCCTTTAATTTTTTATTACCAAAGTACACTTTATCTAATATCAAGAGGATTTTAGATTTGACATTACTTTCTCAATCTCTCAGTCATCATACTTAAGGTTCAGCTTTGCCGTTTGCCATGATTACCTTAAATTTTCTTTCTCACGAGCTGCACCGCTCTCAGCATTTTACTTTGCCAGCGAAACCAATCTTTTTGCTTTATACCGTTAGTGCAATAAATAGCTTTGACAAACTAATCACACCAATTGAATATTTACTCAAAAACATCTTGTGTGCCTAAACGTTTCCAGACATCTCAATTTTACTGTTTTTTTAAATAAGTACTTTTGCACGTATTTTAGGAGTTTCGCATACGGCGATGCAGTAGCCTCATTGTTTCTGTGTTTTGTAAATTATGAATTAAATTTCATGTTTATGCTTTAATTTTATTGACGTATTAACTAGTGCCTAAACTTTTGGGACATAACTGTGTTTGTTATTTGAATTAAGATTTTTACCAATGAAACGAAAATGCATTAGGTATTTTTACCATAGCACTCCAAAGATCTCCATCATCGTCGCATGCGATGTTCCCAGGGCAGTACAAATGGAACCACCCTTCTTTCTCCTCTCTAACTCCCAAGAGCATCTGATGCACTCCACATCTATCATCCTCCACGAAGCGACGAATGACATCCTTCAACTGCCTTCAAAAACAACAAAAAAGGACAATTTTTATTTCATATAAAATTGATGAGGAAAATATTTCTTGTTCTCTTCATACGATCATTCAATGTATTCTGGCAAAAAAAGGAAAGAATGACACATCATACTGAACGTAAGGAAAGCGTTAATTGATGAACATTTTAATTTTTAACAAAAGTGCTTTCAGCTATTTAACGCTATTGCCACATTGTTAGCTGCACTTGAAAAAAGCCAAGTGTTCAACTACTGTAACAGCCTCATCTGAAAGTTAATCTACGCCACACGCCATTGTTTTTCTTGCATGGAGTAAATGTAAACATTTCGGATGGTAACTCTAAACTGTAATCTGGACTTCGCTTTTACTAAAATAATTGCTTTTCAAGCAATAAATGTTAAAGAAATTAAAAGGTTTTGATGATTCAAGAAATTAAAAAGTTCAATTTTTTTCGAGGCAAAAATATTGTCATATGTAACTTTTTTTTTTTAAAAAAAAAAAGGTGATTATGAAAGAAAATTGCATTTGGATTTGATGTAAATAATTTTAATCTTTAATCAAACCATGAAAATTACCTAATGCATTTTTATGAAGGCAGGTAAATCTTGAAAAAAGCCAACATTTTTTAGAGTTTGGCATTACAAAAACCTAGTCTGTCAATTCTGATGCAGATAAAAACCAACTGGACTCGACTGCCTCCTAATTAAACTGTGACATAGTTTTATAAAATATGAAAGAACTCAGCTAAAATTTCTTTCTTTGGACAAAGGCAAAAGGGGTTAAGAGAAATTTAATATCAAGGTCCCTACAAGCTGTAATTAATCTTTACGAAGATAAACTATCAATCTCAATCGCATTTAAAATTCGTATTGTTTCTGCTTATTCTTGCATTGTATATGTTATCAGGTTCTGTGTTCCTCCTTACTTGCTTAGGGAACATTAACTGTCCTGACTCGGAACAGGAAGCTTACTAAAGCTATGTTCAATAAATTTGGGAAGTAGACAATACACACAGGAAGGATATACGAAACCCTTTATTTTTCTCTCTTTACAATGATTTCCGGACTTCGGAATACAGAGACCAACCACTTGTGGTCTGAACGTAAGAATATAAAAATATTAACTAAACTCTAACTAAACTAACTTTGGATTAATCAAACAAGTGCCTAACTCCAAGATTGGCCATATATTAACAAAAAGCCGTATGTAGTACAGAGAACTGCTAACACTACGATACGTTTAAAATTATCAAGAGGATTAAACCTCTGGCCTTGAAGGCAACCAGCAACCGAGTAAAACTACTATGGCAAGCGGCCTGCTTCTAATAACTCCTTCCTCTCTCTTGCTTGGCAAAAAGCCACAACTTAAGTACTTGGCGTTCGCAAGACAAATTTGCATAAATAAGTTAAAGCTTTTAATTCTGGCCGGAAGTAGAAAATAAGAAGTGATAGTAAAGATTTAAAATAAAATAAACGTTAGTAAAACTTAGGATCCTTACATACTTCCCGCCAGAGTTAATTAGTTTGAAACTGAGGTCTAAAACGACCTTGTTGAAAACTTTTAGCTCTAGAATCTAACGCGAGGCCAATCTTTTACAAACATTTCTCACTAGAAACTAGAAATTTAAAAAAAATCGTTTTTACATTATCAACTCCTATGGACAAGTATTTTTCATCTGTACTGCATCTATAACAGGAGTTTCTTAGTTGAAATCTGGTTCCTTCCAGAGATCTGGAAGGAAAACTAGTTTAATGAAATGTTACACAATCAAATGGCAAGTAACATGAATATTTATATTTCTCCTTTAACAATTCTTATTTCATTCATGACGTTATTTTAATTATCTCCCCGTGCTCTCTGACATGTGTTGTAAAGGAAAACACCAAACACGAGCGTGTCTATGTACAAGTGTTCAACACTACCGCCTGCAATCAAAACACTAACGTGTTAAAATTCAACATAACAAGACCTCAGAACACACCTTATATTCATCTCTAAACCCTGAGGTACTATTCTGAAAAGTGGCTAACTCTGAAGTGTAGCGTCAGAGAGCCTAACTACATTCATTCAACCTTTAACACATATTCACAATAATTTGCTCTTTTTACAGTCACACGAATAAGTTAAAATTTTTGGCATTACTCTAATCACTTTTAACATATCACAATATTTCTTAACTTTTAAAATAACAGTTCACATTGTATATAAGGACATATTAACATGCCGTTAATTTTACGCATTTTAAAACATACATTAGTAGTACATTGTTAACTTCTATTCTTTTCCAAGCAAGTGCCAATTCTTCTGCATTGAAATTCTACATTTCAAAAGTCTTTCAGACTTAAAACTTCTTTCTTGCCAGAATCTTTTAAATAAAATTTTATACAATAATTTTTACAATTTTCTTAAGGTACCTTTCTCAAAGATTATCAATGCTTTTTCAATATTCAAGTATTTACACATTCCTATTATACATTAATTTTAGTTTTACTCGCGAGTAATTGAAAAACAATACCAAAATAGGTAACAACTCATTTCTCGCCTTTTTGGCGATAAAGGTAGACCTCACATGAGGTAAAACTTCTTGAATTCTGCCACTTGCAGTAAGAATGAAAGATTAACTTAAGGTTTCAAAGTAACATAAAGTTTTACTTATCTTTGTGATATTCAGGACATCCTTTTTTCTGCCCAGTCCTGGAAGGTAGGCGAAGACTACGGTCTGGTTTATCTTCCTTCTTGTGCGGGTTCGCCCTTCGGTTCCTTCCTCCATGAGCTTTCTTTTTCTTCCAGTTCGGTCACCCTTGAAGACCTTCTTTTTAGCCTCTGCCTGTGGTCTCGGCCGTTTGATGGCAGCTGGTCTTGGCGGAACCGGGACAACTCTCTCTCGTTCCTGCTTGGATCTCGTTGCTGGCTGTTCAAATTTTTCTTGCTTCTTTGCATCTGCAGCTGGTCTTCCTTCATCAATTCGTCGACATTTGCTGCGTAGACTCCTATCCGATGGGTAGATCTTCTGTTTTGGAGCCGGGTTATAGTTGCTGTCATTTCTCCTGGCTTTCTTTGCATTAGTCGTACTTCTCCCTTCTTCATTCTGGGGGTGGTCGTGCTCTCTCTTTTCTGGTCGGTGGAACGGCTTCTTTTTTTCTTGTTACCTTCAGTTTTCCAACGGGGGAAAACTTTCTTTTCAATTGCTCCTGTCTACTAATGGCTTGCCCTTGGGATTGTCGTTGTTCCACCTCTGGAGCTTGTGCCTGCAGTGCCGTGTGCCGGATCCTGCAAAAGATCTTTAAAATATTGGCATTTTATTACGATTATAAAATGGTTTAATCTGGTCAACGTTTGCGGTGCAGGTTTCACCATTCCTGGCTTTTAACACCACTACAGCCTGAGTTATTTTTTCTATGACATATGGTCCTTCAAATCGTGGAAAAAATTTGGCAGTTTTATCTTCTGGTGCTGAAGAAAGTGAATGCTTAATTTTTAACACTTCATCTCCTACTTTATAAGTTACTCCCCGTCGTTTCATATCATAATAAAGCTTCTGTTTTCTCTGTGCTACTTCAGTGTTCTTTTTTGCTTCTTTAATTTATTTTTCTATATTGCCCATTTTAAATTCTGGGGCTCTTTGTTGAACATAAAATAATTTATCTAACGGCGTTATAATCTTTCTGCCTAAAAATAACTCAGCAGGAGTTTTGCCCGTCGTATCATGTTTTGCGGTCCTAAGGGCGAAAGCCTAATTCATTGACATAGTTAACCCAGCTTTTATGAAAATTTTTAACATAACTACGGACAATTTTCACTTATATTTCTATTGACCCGTTCCGCTATATTTGATTGCGGCCGATACGGGACCATTTTTAAATGACGTATGCCCAGTTTTTGGCACATGTCTTCAAATATATTACTTACAAATTGAGGACCATTATCCGATATAACTTTTAGGGGCGCCCCGTATTTTAAAATATATTATTTAAAATAGAATCAGTAACTAATTTCGCGGAGGCTCGTTTTAAGGGAACAATTTCGATCCACTTACTAAAATGATCAACCATAACAAGGAGATAGCCGACTTTATTTAACTGACTTTTTGGGAAAGGGCCCAATAAATCGATGCCAATTATTTCATTTGGAAATTCCGATTTAATACTATTTAGAAACCCGGCCGGGCGGAAATTAATATAATTAACTGCTTGACATGTTGGGCAGGACTGGACATACGCCCTTGTTAACTTTTGCAGCTCAGGAAAATAAACTGCTTCGCGTACGCGTTGGATGGTTTTTCGAATACCAGGTTTTTCGAATACCAGCATGAGAAGCTAAAGGGCAGTCGTGTAACTCCTGCAGTATATTTAATCTAAGACTAGCTGGGATAACAGGTCGAAATTCGTTGTTGGAATTCGTAGTTTTTGTATAAAATAATAGACCATCTATTAGTTCGTAATGGGCCGCCCTATTTCTTATCGCCACAATATCTTGGTGGCTAAAATTTTCAGGATCCTTTAAATAATCATAAATATTTTAAAATTCAGGATCCTTACCCAGTTCGGTTATCACAGTTTCTCGGGAATGTAACGTTACATGCTGTGAGCATTGCCACCTTTACAGTATTACCTTCTTCATCTATTTTTATTCTGGATAGGGCATCTGCTACGATATTTTCCTTTCCGGGGGTGTGCTTTGAATTACCAGATTATACTCTTGTAACTTTAGTGCCCATCTTATTAACCTTGGGGATAAGTTTTTCCCTGAGTACAATCTAGTTACCGCCGCATGATCAGAATACACTGTTATTGGCGCCCTTTCCAAAATAGACTCGGAACTTTTGCACTGCTAACAGAACTGCAAGTGAATCTCTCTCAGTCGCGGAATAATTTCTTTGCGTTTGATTTAAAGTTCTACTAAAAAATGCCACGGGCTTCTGATTTTGCGAAAGTATCGCTCCTACCGCATAATCCGAAGCATCCACTGAAATTTCTAAATTCTCATCGTTTTCAGGAAATTTCAAAA